ATGCATGTAACGAAGAAGTTGTCAAATAGCCACTGCTTCCTTACGTCTTTATAACATTATTGTTTCGCTTATAAGCTTATCCTAAACCACTTTCAATAAATAAATATAATAGAATACGACACGATTTATTAAGTTGTATTTTAACAAATGCTTTCATTAAAATTCCGTAATATATCAATTTTATTAGTGGCTCTGGAATAAAGGTATATAGCATAACATAACCATACTGTATTATATATATTATACCCTTAACAGTACTTGTATCGGTGGTAAAACATGATTTAAATATTAATTACTTTAAACTTAAGTGGAAATAGACGGGGCGCTCATAAGAGGAACAGAAACATGGAGCAACAAAATATTAAACTGGTGCCCATGATACAATAATTGGACTAGAAGAAGACAATTAAGAAGGTGAATAAACCAGATTTAAGACAGCCGGTCAGATAGTGGCATAGTGCAGACAGAAATGGCGAACAACAAAGTATTAAACTGCTGTCTAGGGTACAAAAATTGTAAAAGAAGAAGAATTAAGAACGTGGATAAACGAGATTTAGGACAGCGGGTGGTACATGGCAGACAGTGGCACAGTGCAGACAGAAATGGCGGGATTTGTAGGTCTAAATTATTTATTATTATTTCGTTTCATAGTCTTTCTTTTGTTTCTTAATTCAGTTGTTTTAATTACTTTTATAAGCGACTTGTAATCGACCTCTAAGTTTTAATTAATTTATTCGTTGTTATAAATAAATTATAATCACGATAGAAATTAAACAGCATGCCGTACAGCACGATACCAATAGTAATTTGAATAGTTGTTTTACTTAGCTTAGCTATTCAAGAAGGAAGAAGGAATTATAGTTATGCTAAATGCTTCTTGGTTATTAAATCATGACGATGTTAATATGAAAATTACGCAAATATTAATTGCATTGTATATGTTAAGTCACTTTTAAGTTTTAACCTGCGTCAAAAAATTTTATACTTTTAAATCATTCCCTTATATCAACTAATTTGGGATAGAATGAAAAGTGTTAAAGTGGAGAAGCAGTGTTGGCCTAGTGCCTTCAGCTTGCGACTCTCATCCCTGAGGTCGTAGGTTCTATCCTCGGCTGTGCAACAATGGACTTACTCTCTATGTGCGCATTTAACATTCGCTCGAACGGTGAAAGAAAACGTCATGAGGAGACCGGCTGATCACCTACTTGCCTATTATATTAACAAATGATCATGAAACAGATACAGAAATCTGAGGCTCAGACCTAAAAAGGTTGTAGCGCCATTTCTATTTTAAAGTAGAGAACTTAGAGCAGCTCCTCGCCAACTGGCTTACTGAGCAGAAATGAGCCACCAACTTGAAGAAGCCTGAATAGGTTTGAATTTCATAATTATTTAATACACTTTAAAAAACTGACAAATACGATCTTATAATATAGATTAAAAATTATAATCAAAGAAAGGTTTTTCACCATTTGGTGGAAAACCTTTCATCTGAAGACGGCTTGAGGGGTTTAGTTTTGACTAGGGAAATGTCAAATAACGTCAATTCCCATTAAAATATATTCTAGTTATTATTCTAAAGTAATTTATTATGACTTCATTACCTTACTACAGATATAACATCTTAAACGATCAATTCTAAATTCTGAATTATTCTTCTAAATGATCAATGACTTCCTCTATCTAATTATCTAATTATTGTTGCAAAGTTTATAAAGAAACATAGCATCCAGCAAATCCGACGATGAAGTAGCCTTATGTTGTAGTGCTGTAGATGAATACGACGGAATTTTGCAAGGTTGTATTTGTAATATTTACGTAAAGAAAGATGAATTTTCAGAATCAAAGGCTAATCGTCACACAAACGCATCAATTTGAAAATTGTGATTTCTAAATTAATTTAAGTTGAATATACTTTTATCGTAAACGAGTAATGAAAATATGATTTAAATGTGACGTGATTCCTCTTTCACATATCTACAATAAGTCTTTTAGATTAACAGCCTTGCGATTCTGTAACTCACTTTTCGAACTCAGGAGGGAGCTTGTAGTTTATTGTTTATCAGAATGCCAAATCGTAAAATGACGGCTTTACGACTGATTTGAGCGCGACCGCCGCTGTGAAAACCGCTGTGTGAGTTCGAAAAGTGAGTTACAGAATCGCAAGGCAGATTGCATTCAGAGGCGAGTAATTATTAGCAATCCTTTACTTCCGCCTATCAAACTTTCCATCAAGCAGAACGCAAGAAAGCCCTTGAATATATATAAAGATATTTCTCTCAAACTTCGTTGATAATGCTCAATACATATTGTGAATTGTTTCATACATTGTTACATTCATTTAAATATCAAGTAATACAAGAAATACTGGAATGATACAATACAATCCATGTTAATATTATGAATGCAAAAGTATCTATTTCTATGCGACTGTTTATCTTTACATTTCAATATTGAAACTTCGTTACGTAAAACAAAAAGTTTCTATAACCGTGTCAGGTATTGACTAACTGTTGTTGAATGTGACCGTTCGTTTTTTACCTTGGTTAATGTTAACAACGGTATTAGATCGGGTATAAAAAACAGAGCAGTATTGGCCTAGTGGCTTCAGCGTGCGCCTCTCATCCCTGAGGTCATACGTTCGATCCACGGCTGTGCGTCAATAGACTTTATTTCTGTGTGCATTTAACATTCGCTTGAACGGTAAAAGAAAACATTATGATGAAACCGGCTTGCCTTAGACACAAAAAGTCGACGGCGTGTGTGTCGGCGGAATCATAGGTACAAGAGGCCTAATTGACAAATGATCATAAAACATACAGAAATCTGAGGCCTAGACCTAAATAGGTTGTACCTAGCGCCACCGATTTTTTTTATAAACAACATCGGGTAAGAGTCAGATACTAAGCGGGTACTCTAAATCCCGTAAGACAAATTCAACACAAATTTGAAAAAATTGGATTTAGAGGAGGCCTTTGTCTAATACTGTACTTTTATATTTACTTTATATTTGGCATGTAAGCTAAACAGCATTAAAGACGTTTTGATTTTAAACAATACAACATTTACAATTGAACTATCTAACTACCAGATACAGCGTTATCTCTAATCAACAAATAACTAATATTACTAACTTAAGTAATAAAAATATTAAATTATCCAAAAGAATTGACTTTGGTAAACATTAAATATTTTATGAATTCTATAAATGTTTTTATACAATTAAAATTTACTGTCAATTAATTAAGTCAATATTTCTTGTCAAAAAATATATCTGTTTCATAAGAACCGTATTTAATTTTGTGATTATGATAGGATTAATTTTATAACAAAACACTATGGGGATTAATCATTGTCTTGTCTCGTTCATTTGTAAAAACAATTGAGAACTGCAAAACGTAGTTAGGACTCATGTCACCATAGAGAAAAGATAAACCAAGTAAATTTTACTAATACTACTCCATTACTGTTGAAGCCGCTTGGTACACAGAACAACAGAGTCGATTATGTATGACACATCATAGGCATAGAGACAGACGAATCGATGAATCACAGAAATTAAACGTTAGTCGGAGTTTGGGTTCGAATTTTAAATAATAAAATACTCCTGAAAACCTAAGATATTTGATAAAGTTTGTGAGACGTTTTCTACCCCATAAATACGCTCATACCAAGATTTTGCATACAAATATTTAACGCAGACCAGTGCAACGTTAAGAACCTCATTTCAAGCAGTTTAATAAAGGACCGTGATGCCTAGCGGGTTTGATTCTCCGTCAGAGTACAAATTATATTTATATATAGTTCTCTTTTGAGACACTATTAAGTGAAAGACATAGCGAAGACCAAAGTAATTGCTCGAAGCCATTGTCATGTCAGAGCCTGAACCCCTTAGGTATAAAAAAGGCCGGCAACGCACTCGCTAACCCTCTGGCATAGTCCATGAGCGACGGTATTTCTTAACATCAAGTAACCCTCGAGGCCGTTTCCCTCCAGTTCTATAAAATGCGTGAAGAACCTGAGACGCTACGTTTGTGATTGATATTTAGAAATTTTTAGCTTTATTTGGCTGCTTTATCAAGCATATTTGGGATATTCTTACATAAATATTATAAAGTCCTGGTCTGTCTTTGTCATTTTGTACAATTTTTGCGTAGAGTAAATTGCCTAAAATTGATGTATTATTATTGCATAGGTCGCTAAGAATCTTGCCAGAATAAACAAAATCCACGCGCGTGAAGATGTGATTGGAAGTAATTTTCAATTGTTAAAGGTTTATTAAACACGTGCATTTAATGACTGCGAGGATTTATACACGATAAGTCGTAATGAGGTCTAATTTACTTTGTTTTAAACTAAATAAGATTAGCGTCCTTTTGACCTTTGAACTGTGATAATTATAATGTAAATACACAAGTTTGAACTAGATTTTTATTGGAATAGTGGCTCGTTCCGATATCGTATTCGAGCCGATTTAATAATAATTATTCGAAAGAAGTTTAATGCGATTTTTGCCTAATAAAGTTACCCTTCTTATGACTTAAAACCAAAGTTTAATTACGTTATATCAAATTTTGCAAGTCAATTTTTTTTACAATCAAAAGTGTAGATGTTTATTAAATAACATATTAAAATAGACACACTAGAAACAATTCAATATATATTTTGACTACTAAAAGTGTAATGAAAACAATGTACACATCTACATTCTCAAAACATTCTCCATGTAAAGAATTCTAGCTAAACCTGTTCGTTTATAAAACAGCACTGAAACAAGTGTATTTACGTTTTGCCATAAAAAGAAAATAAAACGAAGCGATCCGAGCATATGTGATTTTTTACGATAATAATATTTCATTTATGATGATTTTTTTATCCGTAACAACATACTTATAAATATATTAATAGTAATTGCTTCGCCACGGTTTACGCTGTATTAGGTATCAAGAAGTAATCAGTATCTTTCGACACCATTAAAATGATTTAGAATTTATTAAAATTTACTTACCGAGAACAGGGCCGACGATTAACATATACGCGAACATTATTAGGATTATTTGAAGACGTCGAAAACCCTCTCGAGGCTGGAACGCTACGTTCACCGTTGCTACCAGGTCTTTCACAGAAAACGACACTGATTCTTTATTATCGGTTTCAACTGTCTTTTTAGTTTTCTCTTTGAGTCTTAGCAAGATATACACGAATCCCGTCAAGTAAAAGAAGCACGCAACCGTAAACACACCATAGTAGCCGAATCTCTTTGTCATAATACCACTAAGGGCTAGACCGATAGGTCTGCTAAGAGTTAAAATGGCCGTTATAATCCCTAAACGAAAAGTCCTTTCGGATTCACTAGTAATGTCTGTGATATAGCTGTACACTGCCATTGTCATGGCAACGCGGCCACCGGCCAGAGCTGGTGGGAGACCTTCGATAACAGCTGTTTCATTTACTCCGACTTGACGAAAAAACATAGTGCTCAGTATGATTCCAATTATCGATATTAACTTCCCAAGTATTGGTAAAACCATGAACGTCTTCCGGTTTCCAGTGCGATCGCTCCAGGCTCCCACAAATAAGGCTAGAATTCCGGGCAAGGCTGTTTGTAGAGGGAAACTCCACGCTGTCATACTGGCTACCATTTTCTGGACGTTTTGCTCCTGCTCTGTGAGGTTGCTGGTGCGCCCTTGCATGATGTTGGTGCATGTTCTTTCGTCGTAGCTCAGATTGACGAGACATGATTTCTCCAAGCACAGATTCTGCACAGCCAGCCCGGCAAGCACGCTGGGAAGTATATAACATACCACGTACGGTTCAACGGTGACTTTGGATCGAAACGACCACGTATTTTTGATAATCTGCTTGATTCTTCTACTGAGTTTTCCCTCTCTCTTTTTTATCTCGCTACTGAATGATTTAGTGCACTTGCAAGTGTCGACATTCACAATTTTTTCACCGGGCACTTCAACCCGCAACGTCATTTTCGAAATGTATTACCACTATAATGTTCATTTGTTTTCTGGCATAATTTGTGAAAAAATATTTGAGAGAAATTTTTCAATTTATTTATTATAATTCAGTTTATGTATTTGTTAATAAATATTTCGTAAACTGATTAGCGGCGCGTGCGATTGACGACTTGTTTAGTGTTTTGTAACACTACGAGTGCCGTGGCCGAGTTCCGATCGGCTACTACCTATCAGCTGGGTGCTGTTACTGTTTAATTTGTACTTTATCTTGTTATCACATGGCCATACTGTTAGCTGCGCCTTCTAAGCCCAAGCTTCATCTGGCGTTAGCCATGCAATATTGCTCATTCCCACAAGCGGTGGCCTTGAACACGTACTATATGAAAAACATTATGAACTTTTCTTTTGCTAATAAACGCCAACACGTAGAAACACGTTCTAATTTTTCCCCATAAACTCGGTCAAGAAGAAAATTGCGTAATGTTCTTTTTATTAGTGGTATAGTGATTGGGAGTACAGTCAAAAAGCAATTTTGAATTCAAGGTTTGTAATTAATTTTGCTCATTTGAAATTATTTTTTATACACTTGTAATGAGAACACAAGAGACTAACAATAATATTTTCCATATTATATTTTATATACAATAAAAGGTGCATCAAAATTAAATAGTTATGTTAAAAAGGAAGAAAATAATAACGCCTTACAAAAGTTATGCGTCAAGACGGATGTAATAATATTTGCTCTTTGTTTCATATTTATAAATATTATTAAGAATACCATTAAACAATCATTGAGGTTCGTCACATAAGAGTCAATTCTAATTTAATCCTTTAAATTGGTTTTAAATGAATGAAACGTCATCAGCAATCCATCCAAAATATTTTTGTTTTGGCGAATACGACTTCCTACATTAAGAGGACAAATACCATTTTGTATTTTTCTTAATAAAATTACAAATATATAATAATTGATTTTGGTAGCTCATATTTACCACACACGGTATGGGATATAATTATATAACAATGTTTGTTTTGTTTATGATTAAAGACTAAATGTGATGATGCAATCAATTAACGCCAAGTTAATATCATCAGTTGGAATTTTGCAAATGTTTAAAGAATTAAATGGTATAATGTATGTAGATGATCGCGATTACCTGTAATAAAATTATAAAAAGGAAAGATGTATTTGTATTGTAACAAATACAAAAATCAAATCAAAATCATTTATTCATTTAGGTAACACAATGTACCCTTATGAATGTCAAAAAGAAATACATATTAAATGCTTCTAATTTCACATTTACTGCAAGTTCAAGGTCGTATAACGGAAGAGAAGAACTGGCAATAAACTCTCCGTCACTCTTTTTAATTTCCAAGACTTTTTGTTCCACACAATGTTTGTAAGGAGCTGCAACCATTGCACCATGTTCCACATGATATCTTTATTAATTAATAGTTAATTATTAATACGTTTACAATTGCCTTGGAAAGAATTTCTAGTTTTATGAAGCCTTGTGGTTGGTGCACTAATTTTGTCTTTATTACGAGTACTATAATTATTGAAGCTACTATTCTTTTAAAACATATCTATATTTTCCCGCACAAACAAAATATTCTCATAAATGTATTGACTAAAGCTACTGTACCAACAAAATGTCACCACTATTAGAAGGCTATTTAACTATTCATTAAAGTACATTATAATTTTCAACAGTATATATCACAATCTATATTAAATACATGACAATTACGGTGAACATACATTTTACAAAATATAAATACACTTATTTATTTATTTGGGAAACAAAACAAATACATCTATCAATAAAAAAATTAAACATAAAACAAACACATTGAATGTATCCACAAAAAGTTTCACTAATAAAAAATATGATACAGAGCAAAAAAAAACCTGACAGCTCAAAATTTATAAATCCGGAGATCGACAAACATACTAGGAGCTATAATAAAGAAGAAAGTATTAGGACATTAATAGTTGTTTGAAATTATTTTTACCTTCCTGAATAGAGAAGAAAAAAGGTAACTAATTTACCGAAGTAATGGAACTTATATTTATTCCTAAATATACCCATTAAAAACCATAAAAACATATACATATTGTCCAACCGTGCGAATAGGCCGCTAGTATTCGCTTAAGAAGATTTATTTAAAAGTATATCCAATTAACAGTACTATTTGGAGGCTTTATTTTAAGCTTAGTGGGCTCTTAAAAATTGCTTAGTTTTTTGCTAGCTAAGTTCTTGGTAGAACCCACTTTGGATAAACAATTGACTGCTTCATTCTCAAACGTGTTTTGTTATAGATTATTTCAATGAAATGTTTCTTTAATTGAAACTATATAAAAATTCCTTATTTAATATTTTCTGAATTGATAGGAAAACAACTATGTTGAAAGTATTTAGAAAACATATAACCCAAATACAACACAGTAAAATTTCGGATTTTCTTTGGACCAAGGCCATCCAAGCCACATCAACAAAATTTGTCTACAGGTGTAGGAGCGAAAAAAAAAATTATACGTATGATGACTTAATATTATAATAATTCAAATTGTAAAATGATTTTTGTAGAAAATAGTTAATTTTACGAGATAGTTGGGAAAATGGATTTAAATATATAGACGAAAAGGCATCATGGTACCTAAATGAGCTAAGTCACTGATTCATCATCATCAATACAGGCCCTTGTGGGCCTTAGACGCCTCAAGTATATTTCGCCATCGCAATCTATTTCGTGCTTCTTACGTCCAACTTCGATCCCATATTGTATTGACGTCCTTAACAACTCCATCCCACTAACACAGCCTCGGTCTACCGGGTAATCTCTTGTTAATAAAGGACTACTGGACTCACAACTTGACAAGGGGGTTCTGCCGTGAGCCATTTGGTGCACATGTCCACGTAAGCCTATGAGCGGAAATTCGCTGAGGAAGTAGAAATTTTTAGTATTATGTATTTTAGTACTATGTATTAATTTATCCAAAATAGAATAAAAGGTCTAGGTCATCAGCAAGTTTTTTACTCGTACACATAGGAATGCGCAGATGATTGGGGTTCCGTTGTATTCAATCACGCACGCATCGATTTCAAAATCAAACGCTGTTTGGATTGCAAAATCGCCTCTGAGCATTTTTGTTTCATAGAATTTAAAGAGACAAAACGTATTGGAAATCGGTTAACGTTAATTTTTATTTATAAACAAACCTAATAGCTTACTTAAGCTGTTAATAAAGGATACAAAAAAAAATTATATCGAAAAGTCATAACAATAATATGAGAGAGAATGCGCGTAGGGTATGGGTGTGTATTATTGTGTGTATAACACAATGTGTGTTAAAACTGGCTTGATTTAGTGACCTTGCCTGATAGTGTTTTAAGGATATATTTTTTGTGATGGAATATGTTAGCGTTGAAAAAAAGTCGTTGTATAATGCTTGTAGGCGATTTAATAATGAATAGTTATGAAATGTAAGGAAGTAAAGGAACTAGGAGTATCGCTAAGGTGCTATCAACAGAAGTAGTGTCCCACATTCGTTTAAGCACCGGATTTATCTAGTGATGTTACAAATGGGTTCTAAAATACATTATTTGGCATCTTCATATCTGAATGAATAGGAACTTATATTAATTGCTCACTTAAATTAAAAGTTAAAACGGAAAGTTAGAACGGAATCAATGATGGTACAGTAGCAATTATATACTTGAGATTTGCAGTCTACATCAATTAGTCATAAGTTGTATTAACGTCATTATTATTATTATTTAATTGATTAATATTGGTACATGAAAAAAACCTTTATAGTTTAAGTATTTCAATCAAAATCTTGGAGTAATAATCTAAATATTTTATTATCAAAACTCTTTTACAATAGGTATATACGGAACTCTCGATTAAGTACACATAATTTGATGCTTTTAATATATTTTTATTATATGTTATAATCTATGCTTAGTTAAATAAAATAATAATAGCTCATGGCCATGCTAGGGTTGTGCCACAATAACACTTTTAAATTTGCCTAAAAAAAGAAACTATCTCATCCTCCTGCAGATAGATTGGATCCGGATGAATCAATCATAAATTTGATCTTCACTGAAGGCTATTTCTTAACTTGGTATAAATGATCATGTTTAGCAATGTGTAAATTATAATATAATGTCCGATACTGTTGATGACATTCATTCAAAGGTCATACGCAAATTGATTCCGAATAGGATCTCGACGAAGGAGACGATTTGATATAAACGAATAAATATTATAACATCACTATTAAAGATGCTGCGGTCTCAAGTATAATTAAAAACGAGTTTCGCATACCCAAAGTAACCGATGATGTCAGTTCTTGCGGGTGTTTACAAATAGACAGACATATAAAATACCATATAGCTTAAAAATGTCAAACAAAACAAGTGAATTAGAAATAGGTGAAAATAAAAACAATGATCCAAAAGCCAGTGAAATATCAACAGTTTCTTTAAAAGACAGAGTTAAACAAATTTTCAACAATATAACCGTTGAGCCATTTTTACTATGTTACTTACTACCAATGGTAATAACTGGTATTGCAGCGCAAAAGTTTAATTTAATCAAAGCGTGCCGTGTGGATTTGGGTTATTCAGAAAGTATTTGTGAAAATGTTGTTAATGGTAACGTATCTGATAACATAACAGATCAAGCTTCGAATGAAGCACAAAGATTAGTAGTTGATATGTATGCGTGGGCACAGCCATTGCAGACTGGGTTACCAGCTTTTATAATTCTCTTCATTGGAGCTTGGAGTGATAAAACCGGAAACAGAAAGGCTTTGATGATCATACCTATTTTAGGAGAAACGATATCCGCATTTGGTTTATTTCTTGCTACGTATTTCCTCTTGGAATGGCCGCTGTGGGTCACTGGTTTGATTGAAGCACTCCCGTCTGCACTTTCAGGAAGCTTCGCAGTTGCTTTCATTGGATCAACTAGCTATATTGCGGATGTAACGACAG